ATCCGCTATTATTTGACTTCACTTGCATAATTCTGAATTTATAATGATGTTGTGTGGTGTTGTACAGCTCAAAGACAGGAGACCTGGACAGATCATGCTCTTCACGAACCTCCATAGTCTATACAGCATCTGTTAGCATAATCAGAACTGGCTGCGTCACTGGATCACGCCAGCTCTTTAAAATGAAATAACTGTTTATCAATACAAAATTAAATTGAATTGGTTACATTTTCTGCTTACTAATGAAATACTGTACATTTGAAATAATTGCATATGTGCCAACCACAAGACACCCGTTTTGTATTCATGTAAAATACATACAATACATGCGTACTTTGACTAGATTGTGATTGTTTTTTTCAGTAAGATTTTATGTTTTTGAAAGTTAAAAAGAACAGCATTTATTTTGAAATCAAAATCTTTTGTAACATTATAAATGTCTTTTGTGTCCCCAATTTAATGCATCCATGTTAAAAAAGGAAAACAAAATTACAAAAAAATAAATAAATAAATAATTTAAACTTCTCTTGAAAATAGTTAAGATTTTTAAAAGATTTTTCCTTTTCTTATGCATGGCCACTCTTATGTAATTGACCCTTATTTCAGTATGAGATCGGAAAAGCCCCCTAATAAGGATAAGGATAATAAGGAATCTGTATACACAGCAATACACACACACCTCATATGATTCAGAAAGTCATTTAACGTGGATTAAATTGACATTATGAAACAGACAGCAGATGTTACTAAGCTATGAAATTTTTTTTTCTTGTCCCAACTGAGTTGAACACACACACATTACACGCGGACACATAGCATGGCCTGAACAAACACACCCAGCTCCACTGGTAATGCCAGCGGCCCTCAGCAAACTTATTAGGGAGAGAGCATGCAGTCAGCCATTCACACAACTCATCGTGTTCCACAGGGCAGACAGCATCACTTTAGTGGAAATATAACAGAAGACTCATTACTCCAGCTCTAGCCTGCCTATTACAGATTCATCTGAACATACAACGCCAGCGGCTAATAATGTTACGCACAGAACTACCGTAGCTTCCATTTGCTAGATTGAGTTTAAAACTGTTGGCAGACGTTGTATTTTTACTGGCTTTGTGTCTGATATAAATATTACTGTGGCATCCCAGAGCTGATTTTATCTGCACTTTCACCATTTATGACCACTTATCTTTGATTTGGCTGAAATGAAAGTGGTGTTTACTGCTGAAATCAGATGATCCTTTTAGAGTTTTGAGTGACAAGTGGAATCAGAATCCAAATTTGCACACCCACATGTGGTGTGTATGTATATATATATCTATGTATGTGTATATGTATGTATATTGTGTGTATGTATGTGTATATATATATATATATATATATATATATATATATATAATGTATGTATGTATATATATATATATATATTAGGGCTGTGCAAAAGTTAATTGCGATTAATCGCATCCAAAATAAAAGTCTGTGTTTACATAGTATATTTGTGTGTGCTGTATATAATTATTTTGTATATATAAATACACACACATGCATGTATATGTTTAAGAAAATGTGTAATTCCTATATAAAATATTTATATTTATATAATATAGATTATGTATTTATATATATATATACAGAATTTAAGTGCAAATAATTCTTAAATATATACATGCATGCATAGGTATTTATATATACAAAATAATTATATACAGCACACTCAAATATATTATGTAAAACAGACTTTTATTTTGTATGCGATTAATCGCAATTAACTTTTGCACAGCCCTAATAATATATATATATATATATATATATATATATATATATATAATGTATGTATGTATATATGTATGTATATATATATATATATATATATATATATATATATGCGTGTGTGTACGTGTGTGTGTGTGTGTGTGTGTGTGTGTGTATATATATATATATATGTGTGTGTGTGTGTGTGTGTGTGTGTGTGTGTGTGTGTGTGTGTGTTTGTGTAATTTAAACATTTTTGTCATTATATTTCTGGTCTATAATTTTCCATTTTTTTACACATACATTACACAATTTACACACTTTAAAATTATTTTTTTTGTTCCCTATGAAATTAGTTTTATACAATTTATGAAATGTATAAATTGGATATTTAATAAAAAATATATGCAATAATTATGTATTATAATTGTAAAAAAAAAAAGTTTTAATCTGCCTATTTTTGTAGTCGATTTATTCTGATCCAATCAGGAACTGAAAGACTGCTATATTTACTTGACCTGTGGAGGGCGCCCTATTCAGAAGTTGACCATGTCATGTCACAGTTGAGTATTTTTGGAGCTCTGAACAATCTGCCCTGCTGTTTGTGCATTTGTTTGTTTGCGTGCGTGAGCAAGAGTGACAGAAATACACATATGTCCCTATAAGAGTGACTTTCAGCAGGATATCTGTTCACTGATTGATGCAGTCTCATGGGGAGACGTGGATAGAAGACGTGAAACAAGACACCCGCAGCACAGCACAGAAGGTCGCCAACATCGCTAACAGCCCTGTCCTTGATCCACTGCCACTCCTTCAGCTGTGTGTCGAGACGAGACGACAGGGTGACCTCAGGGCTCTTTTCAGATGTTTAACTAAGACAAATAGGAGCTCAATGAATCTCAACTGTTCCATGATGTCATTATGACCAACAGTGACAGGGCTCAACAATAATGATTTTGTCCGGCTGGTTTGGACGGCCCTGTATTTAATTATTTATTTTTACTTTCCCTTTCCAAAATTTGAACTAAACCCTCACAAACATTATACATTTTATTTTTAACCCTACATGAGTAAAAATAAACTCTCTCAAACTGGCCCCTGCCATCCTTATTGTGGAGCCAAGAGATTAAAGGTACAATATGTAAGAATTTCATCTCAAAATATCCAAAAAGCACTTGCACTTTGCACAGTGTTATAATATTTCTTTCAGTTATGTACTTACATTAACCTAAATGTTTCCAAAAACTCACAATTTTAAATAGTGTAACTTGTCACTTGTTGCCCATCAATGATGTAATATCCATGTTATCCTTGGTTTCCCCTTGTACTGCCATCGTAACTATGGCGACATATGTGGGCAACTGCGTTACGTCTAGCGGTACACTCACACTGTTGTTGTTTCGTTCCAACATTATGGATCAAATATCCCAGCAGACTTTGGGACAAAAGGAGAACTAAAACGAGAATCGATATCGACGTGGCGTTTTCGAGATGCCAAGAGCTTCGCGGCAAACTTGGACTTGACAGATTCCGCACTTGCATGTACTTTTATTAGACAGGTGATCTTATTAGACAGGTGATCAATGTAAGCTCAACATGATGAAATGTTAGAATATGATCAGTACAGTATATTATTCTAATGTTGATCTAGCTAGTCTCATACAGCCAACAAACTAACACATAGAAGCTGTGCGAGTAGTAATTCAGCACTTGCGGGTAGTTCGGTAGAATGAAATGTCCTCATTTATATCCGCGGGACTCGTGTGTGACGCTGATATCGGTCTCTCATTAACAATCGCACTTCATACCACAGTCATGTTAAAAAACATCAAAGTGTTCACTCATTCATAAACATTATTAGATCCATCAGCATGACATAAAGTTCTGTGATTCCGCTTATCACTGCTTCATCATTCTATGTTTCTGTCATTGTAAAAGGTTAGCGAAAAAAATGCATATTGTAGCTTTAAATGGCTGACAATTTCAAAGGTATACGTCATTAATGGGCCGGTAGTTTCTGATGAATATTGTTCTGCCTGATTACAGTTTATCACCCTGTTATAAAAACAAAATCCTTTCTGAACAAGTATGTTGATTAAATAGTGTTTTGTTTGACTTACTTATTTTTGCATTCTGTTTTGCTTGCCATGTTTGACCATTCATAGTTGGAGTGTTGTGAGTTGGGAGGGGTGTGTTTGGGCAGCAAAGACAGATGTGTGTTTGTGCTCTGTGGTCGGGGAGTGGTGTTTAGAGAAGGAGGTGCAGAATCAATGGGGCCTGTGTGTGTGTATGGTTCAGGTACCCTACATTATGGGAACAAAATGTCCCTACAAAGATGGCAATATTCGAAATCCTTGTCCTTGTCGGGACATTTTGGTCCCCATAATGAGAAAAAAGGGTTCTAAATCATAGTGAAAATATAAAAATCCATAAAGTTTTCTGTGATGTGTAGGTTAGGGTTAGGGGATAAAATATATAGTGTAGCGTATAAAAAATCATTGGCAATGGAATGTCCCCATAAAACATTTAAACCAAACAAATGTGTGCATGTGTATTTTAAAAAGCTCTAGTATTTGTGTGTGCGCGTTTGATAGACAAGTCCAGAGATCGAGTTTGCTATTGCAAGCTAGTAGTGCACAAAATGATATGCTAGATGCAAGGAAATGTTCATTAATGAAGAAGCAAATAAAAATTGAGCATTGAAAGTTTCATATAAAATGTATGACTGTTTTTGACTGTACAAACATGCAGGATTTACAAACTTTCTGGACATTGTAGATGAATATCTCCCCCTAGTGGAGGTCAGTAACACTGCTTTAATCCCCAGAGGTTGCCAATAATGTGTAAATAATGTTGTAAATAATAGATATATATTGTCAATCAAGAGTTTGGGCTCAGTAGGTTTTTTTTTCTTGAGAGAAGTTAATACTTTTATTCAGCAAATAAAATAAAAATAAATAAATGCTGTTTTTTCCCTTTCTATTCATCAAAGAAGCCTGAAAAAATGTGCCATGGTTTCAAAGAAAATATTAAGCAGTACAATTTCTTTCACTGTTTGTAATGTTTCACCACATCATTCTATAATACTCCTTCAATGTGACAAAAATTGTTCAAAGTGCAAATGTTTTATGTCATCTATCAATCAAGTCATAAAGTTTTAATTTTAATATACAATTAGGCATCTGAATGGCCAGATTTTTCTAAAATATTCCATATGAAAGAACTTTAAACTTTTGTTTCCTCTTTAGGAATGAAGCGTCCATTTAGTCCTGATGAAGAGGGATCGAATGGACTGACTGGGCATGAGGGTGTATCCTCTGATGGGATGGAGTTTACCAGACAGGACCCCCCACCTATAAACCCTCGTTCGAAGCGGGAGCGCAAACACAGGTCGTACACACTCTGTGAAGTGTGCAACATTCAGCTGAACTCCGCAGCACAAGCACAGATACACTACAATGGCAAAACACACCAGAAAAGACTCAAACACATAAACAACAGCAACACAGGTATGATATGTGTGTCTTTCTCTGGTGTTCCTGTCATAATCGGAGCTCAAAGACTGGAGCTTCTAGCTTAACATTATCCACATAAATATGGTATGTTCCTGGATCAACATCCTTTATTAGTCCTGGAAATGCTTACTTTGAAACCAATTTGATTTTGAGGATAGTACTGATTTTTTGGGGGTCGGTAGATGAGGTTTATCTACATGTCAACAAATAAACTGTGGTTGAGGTTTGACTGAAATATGAACGGAGAAATTCCTGGTGTTGTTTTTTATTCCTTTCTCTTCATGAGTTCTCAGCTGGTAAAAATACCATCATGTGTTTTAGAGCTGTATGTTTCTGGATAAATCACAGTTGTGTTGTTTAGAAATAGAAGACTCTCTGACGATTCTGTATAGCCAACTAAACAAAATAACATGTAAATGACTAGAGCTTCTGACAAAATGTTAATTGCTGCAAATCAATATTTAATTAATTTGAATTTGAATTTTTTTAATCTTTTTTAAATGATTCAATGACTCACTCACGAAGACTTTGACTAATGGATGAATCAGCATTTTTGAACAAATCAAATGAATGATTTGATGACAAATACATTTTTTAACAGTCGTTGGCACTTACTGGTGTAACGATGTAATTGATATAATCTTTTTTGAAGCGTCAAGGTTCTTTCAAAAGGTGATTTTGCTCTTTGTTGGTCGCTACCATAGACATCAGTGTTTTGATCCGAACTATAATCTTTTATCTTAGTACTTCTCTGAATTACTGCAACGGAAATAATAATACCGTAGGGTTGAAACGACTGTGAAGCTGTTTCAGACGACGACTGCTCTCTCTGGATCAACCAACGCAGATTTGAATGTTGAAGGTTTAATAGCCAAATCACTGTCGTAAAGAGATAAGATTGCGTGGGTGTTTGAATGAGACGGTCCTCACGGCAAAACATGAAATCCATGGGGAGGAGTCAAATCCAGATCCAACTCCTCCCACCTTACCTAAACCTACCCAGCTCCATCCCCTGATCCCTAAACCCATCCATAATCTTACCTAGCTCCACCCCTGATCCCTAAACCCACCCTTAAACATACCCAGTTCCACAACCTGATCCCTAAACCTGCCCAGCTCCACCCCCTGATCCCTAAACCCACCCCTAAACATACCCAGCTCCACTCCCTGATCCCTAAACCTGCCCCTAAACCTACCCAGCTCCACAACCTGATCCCTAAACCTGCCCCTAAACCTACCCAGCTCCACCCCTGATTCCTAAACCTACCCCTAAACCTACCCAGCTCCACAACCTGATCCCTAAACCTGCCCAGCTCCACCCCCTGATCCCTAAACATACCCCTAAACCTACCCAGCTCCACCCCTGATCCCTAAACCTGCCCAGCTCCACCCCCTGATCCCTAAACATACCCCTAAACCTACCCAGCTCCACAACCTGATCCCTAAACCTGCCCAGCTCCACCCCCTGATCCCTAAACATACCCCTAAACCTACCCAGCTCCACAACCTGATCCCTAAACCTGCCCCTAAACCTACCCAGCTCCACAACCTGATCCCTAAACCTGCCCAGCTCCACCCCTGATCCCTAAACCTGCCCCTAAACCTACCTAGCTCCACCCCTGATCCCTAAACCTACCCAGCTCCACAACCTGATCCCTAAACCTGCCCAGCTCCACCCCCTGATCCCTAAACATACCCCTAAACCTACTCAGCTCCACAACCTGATCCCTAAACCTGCCCAGCTCCACCCCTGATCCCTAAACCTACCCCTAAACCTACCCAGCTCCACAACCTGATCCCTAAACCTGCCCAGCTCCACCCCCTGATCCCTAAACATACCCTAAACCTACCCAGCTCCACAACCTGATCCCTAAACCTGCCCAGCTCCACCCCTGATCCCTAAACCTGCCCCTAAACCTACCTAGCTCCACCCCTGATCCCTAAACCTACCCAGCTCCACAACCTGATCCCTAAACCTGCCCAGCTCCACCCCCTGATCCCTAAACATACCCCTAAACCTACTCAGCTCCACAACCTGATCCCTAAACCTGCCCAGCTCCACCCCTGATCCCTAAACCTACCCCTAAACCTACCTAGCTCCACCCCTGATCCCTAAACCCACCCCTAAACCTACCCAGCTCCACAACTTGATCCCTAAACCTACCCAACTCCACCCCTCAGATCTGGATCCGACTACGCCCCCTGGATCTTGTGTACTGCAATGAGGTGCTACTGGTTTGAATCGGGATCGCAATCTTTTAACAATTAATCGTGCAGCTCTAATATGTATGAACATACTGTTCAATGAGCTCGTTTAGACCAGCACACAGCATTGTTTTGTATGTTCACAAAATATATGTTGTCATTTTTATTTTATTTTTAGGTCCAGTGTTAAAAATGACACTGTAAATGCTAAACAAACCAGTGCTGAGTGTATCATTTTCTTTTTGGTCTGGACTGAAATAACCAAGAGAACCAAACTACAGGTCTATCAGCCAACCATTTGCCTCTGGAATTTCAAGGATTGGTTTGAGCTGGGGATTCCAAACTTTTTGACTCCACAGTCCCCAAATGTGATAATGAACTAAAATATAAAAGGGATAATGGGATATGATTGGGATGTAATGTTGCTTCAGGTCAGGACCAACAAAATATGTTGATCCAGGAACATGTCCAACTTGTCTCAATCATGTAATGCTATTCATGTTGAAAAATTAACACATAATATACATTCTGTGTGTTGATTTTTCTTTTTTCTTTTGGTAACCTAATATTTTTTCCTAATATTAGTAATAAGTGTGTAGTAATTCTTCACCAGTGGTACAAGACGCATCAAATTGTTGTTATTGCCAAATTCATAAATACATGACATGTAAATGGCTTTTAAACACAATCAACCACCTTCATGTTGTCAGCTGAGGTCTGACAAGGCATCTTCATGTAATTCATACCCTTAGACCTCATTGTGTCCATCTGCAGTTAATATGTGATTTTGACTCTACTGGCTTTTATGTTTCCATGGTGATGCAGCTTTAAAGCCCTGCTGATAGGTCAGGAAGGAGCATTTCAAAGGTCTGTGAGATGCTGATTGTTGTAGTTACGGTGGTAAAGACGGGGCTGTACGTCTACATGTCGGCCTAGAGATAATTGCAGGAGAGAAAGCGAGGCAGCTGGTGGCAGCTTTGTGTCGTTCAGCCTTATTTTCCACAGAAATGGCCGGGGAGTCGGACAAAATCTTGTGATTAGAGGTGGAATTTGTCGATTTATTTGAACAACAGTGAAATAATCCACTAGCACAATTCATTCGTCCTGGCACACAAAAACACAGCTATGCACAGTCGTGCGCAGATAGCAAGCACATGCAAATGCCACACTCCAAATTCAGGCCTGCAAACACCATTTTCCTTCTCTTGTAATGCAAATGTGAAATTAAAGCTAACTTCCATGCTGTTGATTCTTACACATAAAAAGACACCCATGCACGACCAATCATATGAGCAGCAGTCAGACCCACTTCAGGTGCAGGCTCTCATACAAATAGATCATAATTACATAGCAACCAAACATGTTCACCATGGAAATGCTCGACGTGGCGACGCCCCCTTCAGCAACGGGGTACAGGCACTCACAGTCTCGGTGGCAGCTAGATTTTATGCAGTGTGTGTGTCAGGGTTTTAGCATGATTCTAAATGGCATACAGTAGCTCTATGCCGATCCCATTTGTGCAATGCGTTTATGGAGAACCTTTGAGATGCATGCACACTGTGAGTGTGCGTGTTTGCATTCATGCGCAAAGATATAAAGGCTCATTGATTAGCCATTCTGCTAGTGTCCGACAGCATAATAGAAGTCAAATTAAACTGGACAACCTTTCCCATGAGCATACAACAATGCCTGAAGCCTAACCACACACATATACTGTATCACACATCGCCAGATGCACAAAACAGTGACTGACTGATTCAGGACTGTATATGTGTTTTTCATTTTCAAGTGGAGAACACTGTACAGTGGGGTTCAGTAGCCAATCACATAATATAGCAAGTTAAGCATTTAATTACGCAATAGCTTACATTTTAGGCAAAATATCGCCAATTACTTTGTCTATTTTTGTTCCACCAATAAACAAAAGTTACAAACGAAAGCAAAGCATTAATTAAATGATTCAATGAAAAGGTGGGGTACATTATTATATCTTTATCTATTATATCATATCTAGTGAATGTCTAAAATTATTTTGGTGTCACAATTGTCCCGTGCATTGGGTTATCAGCACGTCCAGGTCCAATTCATTTCCACACCCAATGTAAAATCAAATTTTGCATTTTCAGCAAAAGTACATTTTTTGTTAACCTTTTACCATACAGTATGTCTTGGAGTATTGCAATAATATCGTATCATGATATGTATCGAATCATGACATGAGGGTATTGTTACACCCCTAGTCCCTTCTAAATCACTGCAGCTGCCGGTTCCCATAGAGAACTGCCATGTGCAATTGCTGATAAATGAGCTTTTTATCGCTATTTGAGCGACAAGCAGTTTTTGAGATTTCAGGATTCCCCCATTCAATTAGATGAGACTTAGGGCCCTATTTTAGCGGTCTAAGTGCATGGTCTTAAGCACATGGTCTAAAGTGCAAGGCGCAAGTACACTTATGGCGTGTCCGAATCCACTTTTGCTACTTAAACGATGGGAAAAATGGACGGCGAACATGTTCTTAATGGGTTATCCCTGTTTTCTTGAGTAATGGGTATTTTTTGAACGTTAACGTGAAATAAACCAACCAGAGTCTCATCTCCCATTCCCTTTAAAAGTCAGTTGTGCTCGCTCCATGTCGGATTCCAAAGGTACGGTTATAAAAGCTACTTAAATGTCCTAACTGAAGTAAGGCCTAATCCTGGCTTAATCCTGGCCCTGTCTGTGAAACCGGACCTATAAATGACATGCGTATATGTAGTAAAAACATTTTAGAAATCATTCCGCTTGTCAGC